ATTAAATAAATAATCCCATTTCGAATATTGTCACTTAAATTGGAAAAAACTCCACCCGCACATTTTAACCCTTCGGGGCTGGGCGCGCAAAAAGGAGGTGTGACAAGAGGGAAAACAAAATGCCAAATAAACACAAGTAACGGGTATCCAACATAACATCCGTTGCAGCATGCAGCCCGCTCCCAGATACTCATCAAGCCAAAGTGCTCGGGTTCACTGATCACATGAATACTGATATCAAGCACAACAGAGTGAACAAGTATAATTATGGAAAACTGAATAGAAATAATAAAACATGGAAAAAAGCAAGGACAACTAAGGTGCAATGAGAAAATCAACATCACGAGGGCTATCTGGCCCACATCGCCATAAGGCCTGAACGGAATTACAATATGCATGGAGAATAATCATACAACTTCACAGCCCATCACAACATAAGAGAATAACACGTAACATAGATCAAGGGTGTCACACCTCCTTTTTACCACCCGAGAGGGGATATAAGGGAGTTTTTTCAATTAAAGTGACATTATTCGAAATGGGATTATTTTATTTATGTTTCAGAGTCGCCACTTGGAATAAATTAGGGTATCCCAAGTCACCGGTTTATTTTAAAATCCCAAATCGAGGAAATTTCGACTTTACTTTATAAGTCTGCGAACTAGAAATTCTAGATAAGGAATTATGTTAACCCGGGAGAAGGTGTTAGGCATTCCCGGGTTCCATGGTTCTAGCACGATCGCTTAAACTATTAATAATTGGCCTATTATTTGATTTATTACACGTTTTAAACTCATTGTGCATTTTTAACTTTATAACCGCTTTTAATTATTTTAACGCTTTTAAGATTTATGGAATTATTTCTTGAACAAGTTACGATTGTTGTACACTTGTTTGTTTTGGAACACGCCACGAACCACGCTACATGAAATGCACTTGTGATTCATGACATGTGTATTTTATTAATATTCGAAGTTGTTATGATCGGGTTACATGAAATACACACCCGAATTGAGGATTATGTATCGTGATCATGCCACGGTAACCGTACCCATGGCCACGATAATTATTATTAATCGTGCCTAAAGCAAACTATGATGTTCGTAATTTGTTCCACTCTTAAGTTTGAGATTAATTGTATATGTCACGAATTTATAAATAAAATGTAATGGTACAAGATAAAGAAAGGAAGCCCACTAAATAAAACTTTTCATTGACATGAATTGACGACAGTGCATTCATCGCTTAACTCATGAAAGACAAAATGGTAAAATTTTCAATTTCCAACTTGCAAAAGATCCAAACAAAAATATCTCATCCTTCCAAACCACAAACCATCATTTAAAGATAGAATTCTTAAAATGGGTTGGATCAAATCAGCCCCAGAATCAAATGGTTTATAAGAGTAATCCAAATTTACAATTATTCACATGAGATTTCAACATTTAAGGCAAAGTCCCTGATTGAATGCTTGAAACTAATCAAGGATATAGAGAACCAAATACGCAAGGAAATGAATAAGATCATCTTATTCATAAATGCAACACTGTCTTATTATATGTGAAAGTCATCCTAGAAGTTAACCTACTATTCCCATAAGCCATTACTAAGGTATCAATTATATGTCTACTGTATGATTTTGTCACACGTTTAGCAAAAAAAAAACAGAATCCTATCTCGTCATCTCTTATCTTTTACATGGTATCCATTTCATCACTTGCAGGAGTCTTACACCACTGGAGACTATATTCTTCCTGGTAAACTACCAGATTCAAACTGGCACAATTAGGAAAAGTGAAGACATCAAAATTGGTCAAATTCTCAGAGAAAAACAAAAGGAATTCATATTAACTTAAATTTTTTGTTCATACGAGCAGAAGTACAAAAACTGAGGAAGGCATGTGTACCTAATATTCGCAAATGGAATCCAAATGACCAACTAAAGGCAAATCCATGAAAGATGGAGCTCAGTTGAAACAAACAGCATACGGACTCAGCAAAACATCAGCAACAGATCCGTCGACCAAACAAAGCTTCTTCAACCTAAATGGCACTCGAAATTTCAGAAAACTTGAAGCCAAAGAGCAGAAATTCAAACAACGTTCAAACCCTTTATTTTTTTGTTTTTTCTTTCATTTTTATTTTGAATTTGACCATTTCTCTTGTGTGTGTTTCTTTTTAATTTGATGGAAAGAGAATGATAAGAATGGGGAGGGGAAGGCGTTGGCTTTTTCTTGCTAAAGAGGGAGGGTCCGTTTCTGGCTCTTTGTTGAAGAGGGAGCTGGGTTGATGTTACTCTGTTTTTTTTAGAAAAGGGAGCTTCTGATTGTTTTCGGTCTTTCTCTGATTTTTGTTAGGTCTAGAACATGGGGAGGGTCTCTCTAATCTAATGTTATATTTCTAGCTCTAGGTCTTTTAATGTGAGGGGGTCCGATTGGGTAGGTGGGATTTGGGCTTGGGCTAAAAGATTGGACTTGGGTTAATTAATTGGGGTCAATTTAAGGATTGACCCAATTTTGAATAAACAAGACCAAATTTTGTTTTTCCTATTTTCTTCTATTTATTTTTCCTTTTTTCTTTTATTTAATTAATTAAAATCCTAAATTAAGCTATTTTTTGTAGAAATTAAAATTCTTTATTTATTAAAATAACTAATTAACTTAAAACTAAGTAAAAACACTAATTTCTAAAGACTAAAAGCTAAATATGTAAAAATGACTATTTTGTGATTTTTTCCTTAATAATGCAATTAACTCAATGTAATTAATTCCTACATGCAAATTGAACCTAAGATGACATGAAATTAAACGTGATTTTTATGATTTTAAAATATTAAAAATGCATGAAATGAAACTAAATAAAGAAAAACTCCTAAAAATCAATTAAAATTATTTTAGTCTATTTTTAGGAGTTATTTTCATGTAGGGCAAAAATTAGGTGCTCAAAAGCAATTTTTTCTCGTTTGAAACTCCATTTAGGAGCATTTTGAAAAAGTTTGACCGAACCTTGCTTCAGAGGTTGCCTACATAACCTTAGCAATAAAGGAATCAGGTCGGTGTAGTTCTGGAAGTTTTGGTAGCTGGGACTACCGAGAAGCTGCGATTTCACTGCTGTTGCTGCTGTTTCTGCTTGCTGAGCTCCTTATTACACAAAAATGAATGATGAAAAGCTAAACTAGCTAAGCCTATCAACTACGAGTTACAATATTTCTATCTATAAACCTTCTAAAGCTTGATCTTGAGTCTTGGCTGGTTCTTTCTGTAGACTCTGATCTGAATCTTAATGCTCATTAGCTGCAGGTGCTGGTTCATTCCTTTTTCAACTTCTCGGATCAATACGAGACATGCAAAGCTTGTGACTTCAATCACGTCTTGAGCAGTCCACATCTTTTCTCCGCTTTTGCATTTTGAGTTCGCTTCTTTTCTTTTTTTTCTTTATTTTGGATTGAGACTCCTTGTTTTGGTCATCTCAAACTATGTGCCTTGAGGTAAAACCTGCTCAGACACCAAAACAAATAAACGAACAAAATTTTTCTGCCCCAGTTTTCACTAGGAAAATTTTGTGAGTTATTGTTACAAAATTCTAAACTACTTCTTTATTGAAAGTAATAAAAGTCAGGATTGTGTATCCTTGGGAAAAAGAGATTTGGGAGTGGAGCCTTATATCTATAATGAAATCAACTAGGGATCGGGGTCCCTAAGTTGGAAAGATTACCAAGTTATGCTGGAAAAATATGATCGGGTTATGCCGGAAAGGTCCTCGAGTTATGTCAGGGAAGGTCATCGGGTTATGCTAGAAAAGAGAAAGATCCTTGGATTATGCCGGGGAGAGTCATCGGGTTATGCCGGAAAAGAAAAATGTCCTCGAATTACGCCGGAGAGGTCCACGGGTTATGCTGGGAAAGGTCATCGGGTTATGTCGGAAAATAAAAAGGTCCTCGGGTTATGCCGAGGAGGTCCACGGGTTATGCCGACAAAAGTTATCGGGTTATGCCGAAAAAGAAAAAGGTCCTCGGGTTATGCCAGGGAGGTCCACGGGTTATGTCGGGAAAAGTCATCGGGTTATGTAGGAAAAGAAAAAGGTCATCGGGTTATGCCGGGGAGGTCTGCGGGTTATGCTGGAAAAGGTTATTGGGTTATGCCGGAAAAGAAAAAAGGTCCTCGGGTTATGCCGGGGAGGTCCGCGGGTTATGCCGGAAAAGACAAGCTCCTCAGATTATGCCGGGGAGGTCCACGGGTATGCCGGGAAAGGTCATCGGGTTATGCTAGAAAAGAAAAGGGTCCTCGGGTTATGCCAGAGAGGTCAACGGGTTATGCCGGAAAAGGTCATCGGGTTATGCCAGAAAAAGGTCCTTAGGTTATACCGGGAAAGATCATCGATCGGAAAAGGTCTTCGATTATGCCGGGGGGTCCACGGGTTATGCCGAAAAAGGTCCTCAGGTTATGCTGGGGAGGTCATCGGGTTATGTCGGGGATCAACTAGGTGGTGGGACCCTATGTTGAAAAAGATTACCAGGTTATGCTGGCATCGACAAGGGACTGGAACCCTATGTTGGAAAGATTACCAGGTTATTCTGGTATCAGCTAGGGAATGGGACTCTATGCTACCATGATTTTGAATTTTCTTCTTCTTTCTTTTCATTTCATTTTTTTGTTTTTTTGTTTATTTAATATGTAAAAATGCAGGAAAGAACTCGGAGGAGACTTCCCTTTTGGATTGATTATTGCTGCAAAGCTGTTTCTAGCCCTTATGCAGTTTTCTCTTTGGTTGCACCTGCTTCTTGCAAGGTTGCTTTGGATTGCACTTGTTTCATGTTTTCAAACAAAGAACAATTGTTAGTTTGAAACAGTGGTTGGTTTTGTGGCCTTGATTATTTCAATCACTTGATCTCGGCCCGGCTTCTTTGATGGAGATCTCAACTGCAACTGCTTGTTCCCTGAGGACTAATTTCATTTCTGACCCTGGAGAACCTTTAGCTTTTCCAGACTTTTCCATGACGGTTGGTGTGAGCACGTGATTTTTGCTTTAATGAAAACTACTCCAAAATAAATCAAAAAATAAAATA